CGTATTTTTTCAACGCCAGCCTGTTGAGCTCGGGTCCTATTCTCGCTATCTTGTCGACTGCATACGCCTCGACTATCGTCTCTGCCCAGACGTCCGCGAGCACGCCGTTCCCCACGTTCGACGTGCTTTTTGGGCCTGCGTACAAAGGCATTCCATTCGCTGCGACGACCGCGCTCTTGCTCTACACGCAGCATGACGTCTCGGTCGGGCTTGCGTACGATCGCAAGGAGGTAAAGGACCACGGCGAAGGCGGCAAGATGGTCGGTGTCCCCGTCACTGGGAAAAATGTCGTTATCTTGGACGATGTCATGACATCCGGGAAGGCTGTTCGTGGCGCGATTGATACGGTGCTGGCCAACGGGGGCGAGGTCGTGGGTGTTGTTCAGTGTCTCGATCGGGAGGAGATCGGGCAGGACGGCGCAAGTAGCACCATTAAAGAGATCGAGGGTCTCATTGGCGAAGGGCGCGTCAAGTCGATCCTGAGGATGCGCGACTTGATTGCGTGGCTGGAAAAGAATGGCATGACCGAAGAGCTGGCGGCCATGCAAGTCTATTGGGAAAAATACGGTCTAAAATAACCGTCGCGGTTTAGATCTCGTTGTATACGTTGTCATAAATTACGGTAAGCTTGTCTCCTCCAATATATTTCACCGCTGATTTATCTTTGCAGATTGTATTGATCATAGGTGGGGCGGGATTTGGTGATGGATTCAAACGTTCAAGCCGCACTTTATTTTATATTTAACCAACCGACCGAGGTAACGACGCTATCGAACACTTCAATACTTCCAGAATTTTGAGAGATTCGTCTGTGTCCCAAGTCCGGAAGGCTCGTTAATTAGTGGCATTCGTTTCGTTACGAGTTTACTGAAGTCGTGGGTGTGTTTCTGGGCCAAATTTAACCTTCCAGCCCGATGTCGATTCGGAGCGTTGAACAAAACTCACCCGGTATAACCTGACTGGACGTCAGCAGGAAAGAGACTGGCACTCTTCTATATGCATATCGTGAACCTCCATTACCCTCCACCGCATTCAAATTCGTGTCTTGTCGCTACCAGCCAACGATTAGCCACTTACGCGGGCGGAAACAGTTCCTACTTGCTCTTCAAAATTAAAAATAGGACAATTAGTGATGTTCAGGGCCCGACGCAGGGCTTGAGCGGGCCCAGGGCCTGGGCTTCAGATTTTTCAAGCCCAAGCCAGGCCCTCAAGCCCGGGCTTCACTACGACCTATGAACTTGGGCTTAACTTCGAATTTTGATTTCAAAATTCATGCATCAGGTCAGCTTTTACTGGCATTGAGTCAGAAGATTTGCCAATAAAATATTACAATTAATTGAAGGATAGCTATCACCACGGTTGAAAGGGTCAACTCCGGGCATCCGAAAACGGAAATTGCGTGTCGGATTGGTCGAGAAGTGGAGAAATCAAGTCAGTAGTCATTCTAATAACCATTGAGACATTTGAATACCTGTTCATATCGTCATCCTGCAGTGTAACTTGCAATTTGTCACCTCACGAGTCAGGCCCGGGCCTGAGCCCAAAGCCCGGGGCTTGAGGCCCTGCTCGAGGGCTCGGGCTTGGGCTTGGGATATCTGAAGCCCAAGCCGCCTCAGGCCGGGCCCAAGCCCGGGCTTCCAGGCCAGGCCGGGCCCTGAACATCACTAACTGGACAATGAATCCCATTGAATCGCGTTTCATCTTCCAAGGGCTATGGACTGTCTGTCCTCTCGTGGTCATCAGCGAATAAAATTAAATCTTCCTTTACGACGTGAGTTGCCCTAATAATCTTCCGTTTAGGAATCGATTCGTACGGCCGAAATCAAATGCCGAACTTGAAGCTGTTGACAGACAGAGCCAAACAGAGCGTTTTATGTTCTCTGTTTTGCGTCAACGATGCCTGCGGGCGAGCACATCTACTCGAGCTGCTCGCCACAGCTTACGCTCCGCACGGGTCATCCTCGACGGTGACTCCGCGCCAGCTGATCTCTCCGAGGACAACGACGCCGTTGACGGCCGCCGCCCCGCCGCGTCGCGTCGGGCCCCGTCCCTGCAGCCTACCTCCGCCACATGGCAGACCCACCGCGCCGCCCTCAAGTCCGCCTTTCTCGGCGGCTGGGGCCCCCCGCGCAAGCTCTCCCGCGAGGCCATGGACGGCCTCCGCCAGCTGCACCGCGTTGATCCCGAACGCTTCACCACGCCTGTCCTCGCAGAGCGCTTCCGCATCAGCCCCGAGGCCGTGCGCCGCATACTGAAGAGCCGCTGGGCGCCGCCGCCGGGGAAGAAGGCGAAGCTGATCAAGCGCGAGGTGCAGGCGAAGGCGCAGTTCTTGTCGCTGAGCGCGCTGCGGGAGAGGATGGAGGCACGGCCGCGAGGACGTGCGTGCTGCGCGGCGCGTGGGTGCTGGTGCGGAGCTGGAGTGGGAGTGGGAGAGGGAGGAAGAGCGCGAGGGCGGCGACGGCCCGGTACGCGGCATCCATCCGCGCGACAAGCTCACGTTTGAGTAGCCGTAGTCTCCCTGAGGCAGACGGAATACCAGAACCGGCGCAAACCTTCGCGAGCTCAGGATACCTGTTTTGACAAGGATATCCTGAGGCACGAAGGTTTGAAGGAATTGATCTACTCTGCCTCTGGGAGACTAAGCCCCGTCCGAGTGCATACGCCTTTGTGGGGTTGTGTCACGGTTACAGAAGCCTGGGCACTACGTTGGAGGGTGGTAGGATTTCTGGCCTAATCTTTGGCTGTTTTACTGCCTTCTCCCGGGTGAAATGTCAATTTTTTTCTTCCTCAAATGCAAAATTTTGGACTTCCTCGCACGTCACAACCCTGCCGGACTGTTTGCTTCAAGCCGAGGCGGTAAAAATCACTCTCCTAGCCCTCCAGACTAGATACTGTTTCAAAAACATCTCTCGCCCTCGCCGGGCACGTTTTAGGACAGACACCAGCCATTTTTGGCCTGTTTTACTCTATGAAAGGGTATCTGGGCATTTGATTTTCTCTATGGCCCACCAAGCGCTAAGGTGGCGACCGACTTACAGTTAGTACTGTGTGGTACCGCTTTGAGAATGTAACAATATTGACGCGGACGCGGCAGAAACGCGTCTCTCACGTGACTGATCACGTGCGAGGCCGGAGACACGTCATCAGAATTTCCTTTCTCAGTTTCTCGTTCTCTCTCTTCTTGCTTTCGCATTCTCTCGTCGAACAAGATGGGCGACTTCGTTACCGAAATCCGCAAAATCCCGCCAATCACGCGCTTCGTCTGCGCCTCCTGCCTCGCCGTCACCCTCTCCACCATGATGGGGCTCGTCTCGGGGTACCAGTTCATCTACACCTTTTCGCTGGCGTTTAAGAAACTGCAGGTTAGCGGGTTTCTACTTGCACTGCGCGTATATTTGACTTGAGGCTAGATATGGCGGTTGTATACGAGCTTTTTCTTTGGAAGTGGGTGCTTTCTTTATGTTATTTGAAGGGAAGGGAACTGACCGTCGCATTCGCGCTACGTAGGCGGGGGGATCACATTCATTTTTGGTGCGTGGATCGTCTGTATATCTATGTTCAAGGGCAGCTAATACGTGGGATTCAGAATTCGTTTTGCTTTAGTGCGTTATGCTATGCATTCAAATCGAATGCGCTGACTGAGTATTACTCGTAGCCGGACGATGAACGACCTCGAGTCAGGTCCCTACCTGCGCAGATCTGCGGACTTCGGATGGCAACTGTTCGTAGCTGGCGTAGCTATCCTCGTTTGTCCTTCCTCTCTTCCTCCTCCTTCACACTCACTTACAAATTTCCCGCATTTTAATCACACAGATCACCAGCATCCCCGTCTCTTCCATGATCTTCTTCCGCCCCTTCCTCCTCTGCCTCGCCTACATCAGCTCCGCCCTCGCCCCCGTCGGCACCATGACCTCCGTCATGGGCCTTGTCCAGCTCCCCGTCAAGTACTTCCCCTACGTCATGCTCGGCTTCGACCTCCTCCTCGGCGGCCCCGGCGCCGTAGCGACGTCGCTCCCTGGCGCCGTCGTGGGGCACCTGTGGTGGTGGAGCGTCTGGGGCCTGAGCTCGGCGGCGCGGGCGGGGTGCTGCTGCAGTGGAGCGGCGCGCCGCGGTGGTTTAGGGACTATATGGGCGAGGGGAATACGCCGCCGCCTGGGGCGCGGAATCCGGATGGGACGACGGGAGCGAATGTTGGGGGGGGCGTGCGTGTTGTTCCTCCGAGGAGGTTCGCGGAGGAGGCTGTGGCTGCGGGTGCGGAGAGGCCGGCGGGGTATAATTGGGGCACTGGAGGGCAGAAGCTTGGAGGGGGTTAGGGTAGAGGCTCCTGTGGTTCGCCGCTGGCTCAGACGCGAGGTGTGAGGCAAAGGAATTTGTAATGTGTATCAATCCAAGAAAAATTGGTCCGTTGAGTGCCCTTTATATAATTACCTCGACAGCTTGAACCTTGGCCGAATTGGTAAAAAACAAAAAACGAGAAAAATGAATACGAATGCTGCTCATGAAGTCAAAACACGACAAAAAAATAAAGTCGTGACCCCGATTCAAACGAGGGTCTCCTGCTTATACAAGGATCTCAGGTTTACCACATATAAAGCAGGCACAATAACCACTATACTATCAGGCCATTAAGTTCTATGAAGTTCTGATTTTATGAATGCGTATGCGCCTAGAGCAGAACTTTCTGCTCGGGGAACCATGCTTATAAAATTTACGATTTTCCTCCTCGAAAGTATGACCAGTGGAGTAGAGCTGAGGTCGGATAAGGATCCAGATTGGCGCGGAGTGAAAATCGTGGCCAAATCGCGAAGGAGGTCCCTTTTCGGGGGTTGAAGCTTGAAGCTAGCTTGAAGAGCCAAGGGTTTAATCCGACATTGATAATTTGCAGATCAACTGAAGCCATGGTGGTGGGTGTGAGCCCTCACCAAAAAAGCTCAAGGACGTATTTGACTGAAGGATTCAGGAAGAAAGAAACAAGAAAAAAAGTCGTCGGTGATGCTATATGGCCTGACCTCGATTCAAACGAGGACCTCCTGCTTACACATTGTTCATTCAATCTATAAGAAGCAGGCACACTAACCACTATGCTATCAGGCCGTTGACGGTCTGATTTTGTGAATGTATACGGACCTAGAGCGGAAAGCACTGGAGAACTTTTCTGTGCGGGAAACAACTCTTGTTAAATTTACGGTTTTCGCTGGAAACTATGGCTAGTAGAGCCGAGCCGAGGTCGGATAAGGGTTCGGATTGACGCGCCGCGGAATCGAAAGAAACTAAACTTAGATCCATATGTATTTTGCAATTGGAAGTCGGAGTCAAGAGAGAGTTGGGTTAAAAAATCCGGCATTAATAATTTACAGATGAGCTGAGGCCATGCATGGTGGTGTGAGCCTTCACGACAAAAAAAAGGCAGAGGATGTCCTTGACTGAACGGAAGGAAGAAAAAGGAAGAAAAAAACGTCTGCGACGATATATGACCTGACCCCGATTCGAACGAGGGCCTCCTGCTTATTAGCTTCATGTAAACCAACTAACAAGAAGCAGGCACATTAACCGCTATGCTATCAGACCGTTGTGTTTCATCAAGTTCTGATTTTATGAATGCGTATGCACGTAGAGCGGAAAGCACTGGAGAACTGTTTGCGCGGGAAACAATTCTTATAAAATTTACGATTTTCCTCCTCGAAAATATGGCCAGCGGAGTAGAGCTGAGGTCGGATAAGGATTCAGATCAGCTTAGAGGGGGAAATCATGGTCAAATCGCGAAGGAGATCCATTTTCGGGTGAAGAGCCATGAGGGTTTAATCCGACATTGATAATTTACAGATGAACTGAGGCCATGGTTGAGCATGGTTGGTGGTTTGAGACCTCACCAAAAAAAGCTCAAGGACGTGTTCAACTGAACGGAAGGAGGAAAGGGAAATGATAAAAATACAAGTATGGCCTGACCCCGATTCGAACGAGGGTCTCGTGCCTACATGTTTTTGAAGCTCGCTCAATGGATAAGAAGCAGGCACATTAACCACTGTGCTATCAGGCCATTAAGCTCTGCCAAGTTCTGATTTTGTAAATGTGTCTGCACCTAGAGCGGAAAGCACTGGAGAACTGTTCTGTGCGAGAAACAGTGTTTATAGGATTTTACCTCCTCCGAGTCTGCTAGTCGAGCAGAGCTGAGGTCGGATAAGGATTCAGATTGGTGCACTGCGGAATCGAAAGAAACTAAACTTGAGATCCATATGTATTTTGGAAGCTTGAAGACTCGGAGTCAAGAGAGAGTTGGGTTAAAAAATCCGACATGAATAATTTACAGATGAGCTGAGGCCATGGTACCGGTGGTGGTGTGAGTTCTCGCAAAAAAAAAAAAAAAAAAAAAGCCAAAAGACATATTGAACGGAAGGAAGAAAAAAAACGTCTGCGACGATATATGGCCTGACCCCGAATCGAACGAGGATCTCCTGCTTACAAATGGTCCTCAGCGCGACATAGAACAAGCGCACTAACCACTGTGCTATCAAGCCGTTAACATCATAGTAAATGTCTAGTCTAGATATCTGAGACTGAGATGAATTCTGAAATGATGGTACATGTGTATAAGAACGACTTTACCCGCTTGGTCGCAAGAAAGGCATGCGACTGATCTCGAAGGCGATTCACGGGAACTGTAAAAGATTTACTATAGCCCGGAACTCTTGCCACTGGAATAATCATGATAAAACGAAATGCATGTTCACTGCTGATGAGAGGAATAAAAAATCCAAAACATCACCAAGTTGGAGCATGGCCTGACCCCGATTCGAACGAGGGTTTCCTGCTTACATTCACGATGGGCAGAGATGTGCATTAACCGCTGTGCTATCAGGCCGCTATGACCGACTCTTGATCACTGTAGAGGCATGACCAAAGTTGTAGAAGTAGAAGTGACTTCTACTCCTACTAAACACACTTCTACTTCTACTGGTTTGTTCAACTTCTACTAGACAGCATCACACCTGCCGCTCCATGCTCCTGCCGTTCCCACCCTCCGGTGGCCTTACTGGCTATTTCCAGGATGCAGCTACAACATACACATCAATGCTAAAAATGTTTGATCTCATAATCTTATCTTGTCGGTCCTATCGACTTGAGGAAGTCCGCAAACGGAGGCACAAGATTTAAAAAAACTGAATTACTACAGTACTGGGAGTACAGTGAATCACTACACCCGCCAGAAGGAGGAACTCAAATCCCCGTTGGATTGTATCGAATCTGGAATAGGAACCCCGTTTTGTCGCGTGGGTGGCATGAGCGGAATTCAAATGTCAGGTCGTGAATCTAACAGGCTTGAGGGCTGTGCGCCAGGATTGGATGAACGAGCCAGTTCACACTAGTGTTCCTGCTGTCTGCGAGTATTTAGTAAATGCGAAGAAATTCTGCTTGCATGCTCTAATGCACCTGTGCAGCGGCCATCGTTCGAACGATTTTTGTGCTCTAACCGGTTTTATTTCATCCATTTGGGTGGAGCTGAGGTGGTGGAAAGATGGTGGGAGGGAGGGAAAAAACGGGGTTTGTTTGGGTGGCAGGCCGCAATTCCCGCGGCATTGTGCGCTAGATTTATAAATGCCGAATCAGGAAAACGTCTCGGCGCGTCAATGGCGCGCGCCGGACGCGGATGTCACATTAGGCCACTTCTACCAGGTGCAACCCACTTCTACTTCTACCCGGCAGACTTCTACTTCCACTCACTCACTTCTACTTCTACAACTTCTGTATATACTCATCACTGTATGACTATAAGTCTCGTTCAGGTTGGACCATTCGGAATTCCGTTTGAGTTGGTCCTCCGGCCAAAGATTGCGTAACATTCAAGCGTAGTTGGGAAGCGATCCCAACCCGACAGCCCAGGCAGTGAGAATTTCGTCCGCGAGCGTCAGGAAGAAATGTTGCCTAGAGGACATGGTGGTTGCGGAAGGACGCGTCGTGTGACGACGTGATGCACGTGAAGTTGTGACGGACGCGCTTCTTCAATGTTGACCTCGACGTCCACCGACTCGACGGTGTAAAGCCATAGCCAGCAGCCTAGAATATTTAAGTCCGACTTCAGAGCTATTCTGTTAATTTAAAGAAACTTCCGACAGCCTGTCCAATTTTTTTTCGTAGGAATTCAAGAGCGGGAATTTCAAAACGGTTGAACCCACGATTCAGGCTCCGTAGTTTACCGATAGCATATTTCCAGAGTCCATGTTGCTAGCAGCGAGCGTCGAATTTTCACTACAAAAATTGCCCCACGCGCAAGTCCATTGGGGTTCCGGGAATTCCCGATCAAAGTTTTGCAGGCTTTCACAACTTGTCTTTTCCTGCACCGTCTGCGCCTGAGGCGTATCTCTTTTTATCGTCATGGCCTCATTAGCCCGCCTTCGCGCCTCCCGCCGACTCGTACGTCCTCTCCTCCCCGTCCCTTGTCTCTCCCAAATTTCTTATCTTCAAAATAAATTAAAATTGCCTCCGTTTTTGCAGCCCACACTCGCCCGCGCCGGCGTCCGCGCAATCCAAACCTCCGCCGACACAACGCAGCTGCACGAGCCGCCCTCGGACCTCTCCCAGCCCTTCACCGTCAAGCTGCACGAGGACTCCTTCCAGTCGTACCTCTGCGAGAAGCCCGAGCTCGATGTGCAGGTGACGAAGGACCAGCTGCTGGGGATGTACAAGCAGATGCAGACCATGCGGCGGATGGAGATGGCTGCCGACGCGTTGTACAAGGCCAAGTTGATTCGAGGGTTCTGCCATTTGGCTATCGGGCAGGTGCGCGTTGTCCCCCACTTCAATTTCCGATGCTTTCTTTGTTTCTTTGATTTCGGGCTAATACGTGTGCACGCAGGAAGCAGTCTCGGTCGGGCTCGAGTCGGGTATCACCCCCAACGACCGCGTCATCACCGCGTACCGCTGCCACCCCTTCGCTGTCCTCCGCGGTGGCACTATCAAGGTATTTTCTGTCTCTGCCTCTGTTCTACATAAGCAAATGCTACACCCCAGGGCGTCATCGCCGAGCTCCTCGGCAGGCAGGCAGGCATGTCGCACGGCAAGGGCGGCTCCATGCACATTTTCACCCCGTCCTTCTTTGGCGGGAACGGGATCGTTGGGGCGCAGGTGCGTTCTCTTCTTTTTCCTTTTCATTATTATCACTGCACGCTTTTTATTATTATTATTATTTCGCCTTCTTCCCCTCCCTTCTCCTCTTCCCCTTCCCTCTCCTCTCCCTCTCTTCCTCCCCTTCCCTTTCCTCTTCCGTTCCCGAGATTCATGAAAAACCCATACTAACGCGATGGCATACAGGTCCCCGTCGGCGCCGGCCTCGCCTTCGCGCAAAAGTACATGGAATCGGACGCGGCGACGTTTGCGCTCTACGGCGACGGCGCGAGCAACCAGGGGCAGGTGTTCGAGGCGTATAATATGGTGCGTTTCTCTCTCTTTTGGATTTCTCCTCCCACTCCCTCAAGTCCCCTTCCCTACTTTTTTTTGGGAGGGGGATGTCGCATGCACGCTCTTTTTTTTGTGTCGCATGAACACTTTTTTTTTGGTGTCGCATGAACGCTTTTTCCCTTCACAAACCCTCGCTAACCGTCGCACAACCGCTAACGCCCGCCCCACAGGCCAAGCTCTGGAACCTCCCCGTCGTTTTCGTGTGCGAGAACAACAAGTACGGGATGGGCACGTCCGCGGAGCGCAGCAGCTCCAATACGGAGTACTTTACGAGGGGGGATAAGATCCCGGGGTTGCAGGTGGGTTTTTTTTTTTTTGTGGTTTTTGTGGTTTTTCGTTGGGGGGTGGACTGCGGGCGACGGACTATGGACGACGTCTTCGCTTCCTTGGATGTTCGGGGCGTTCCCCCGACGATAACGTGGAATGAACGACATGACGAACGTCCTCCCCTCCTCTTGGGCTTCTTCCTCCCTCACCCTTCGCCCCGTCCCTTCCTACACCTTCTCCCCTACTTTCCCTCCCTCCCGTCTCCTCTCTCTTCCTCATACCATAAAATCCGATTCTTGTCTTTTTCCCTCCCTCATACAAAACCACTTACTCCCTCTTCCTTTTCTTTCTCTCCCTCCCTCCCTTCCCTCTATTTCCCTCCCCATCTTGCACCCTTTTAAACCCACTTCCCTTCTCCCTCCCTCGCGCCTTCGCCCCAACCCCTTTTCGCATCAAGTTCCGCCTTCCCTCCCATCCCTTCTTTCTCGTCTACCTCTTCCTTTTTCCTCCCCTCCTCCTTCCTCCTCCTTTTGTTTTATCCTTGTATCATGAAATCTGGCTTGCATTTTATCCTTCTATCATGAAACCTCCCTCATCAAAAATAAACCACTCACCACCCCCCTCCCCAGGTAAACGGCATGGACATCATCGCAGCCAAACACGCCGTCGAGTACGCGCGCCGCTGGACCGTCGACGACAAGAAGGGCCCGCTGCTGCTCGAGTTTGTGACGTATCGCTATGGGGGGCATTCGTGAGTTTCTTTCTTTCTTTTTCTGCTGGACTTTACCAGGCGACGTGGGGCGAGGGAGAGTGGGGAGTGAGCGCGCGCGCGACGGGGTGGCGGAGCAAGTAACGCTCTTGTTTTCTTTCGCGTTTTGTGGTGGCGGGACGCCGTTGGCTCGCGTTTCGCGTGAGCGATTGGAGTGCGGGCCAGCGATTGGGGAGTGAGCGAGGATCTTTGTACTCGGTTTGGTGGTCGACGTGGCGCCCTCCTTTATCCTTTGCACTCGAGACGCGTGCGCGCCCATCGCCCTCCTCGCCTTCCCCGCGCCGTTGGGCTTGAGCCCTCCCTCTCCCTCTCCTCCCCTCCCTCCTCCTCCCATCCTCTCCCTCTTCCTCCCCTCCCCTCCCTCTTCCTCCCCTCCCCTCCCTCTTCCTCCCCTCCCCTCCCCTCCCCTCCCCTCCTCGCCCTCCTCCCTTCCCTTTTCTCCATTTCTCCACCCTATTTACCTGCTGACATCATTTTAAAGGATGTCCGACCCCGGCACCACATACCGCACGCGCGAGGAGGTGCAGCGCATGCGCAGCACGCAGGACCCCATCCGTGGCTTGCAGCGCTACATCGAGGAGTGGGGGCTCGCGAGCGAGGTCGAGCTGAAGGTGCGTTGGCGTTTATTTACTCTTGCGTTTGTGAGCGGGTGGCGCTGGCGTTTGGTGTTGGGTGGACGCCGTTTCTTCGATGTGATCGCTTTCGATTGTCGTCGATGCACTTTTTCCTTTGGACGATGTGTTTCGAGTGTGGTCGATTTTGCTGCGATCCGAGTAATGCCTAGGAGGGGGACGATGACGGCTGACGCAGGGAATGGGGCTGGCTGCCGAGTGAGGAGGGAAGGAGTGGCTAACGGAGTGAGGCGCGACCGAGGAGTGATCGAGCGCGTCGATGCTTGACGTTCCCTCCATCCGCTTCCCATCCCATCCCATCCCATCTCTTTCTACCTCCCGTCCCTGCTATTCTACCCTCCCTTCCCTCCTATTCCACTTGTCTCTCTTTTTAAAATCCCTCTTATATGATATTTCAACTCCGTTCTAACGCCCACCTCCACAGCAACTCGACAAAGACGCCAAAGCCGAGGTCGACGCGGCCGTCGAGGAGGCCAAGAAGTCGCCCGAGCCGCTCCTCAAGGACCTGTGGACGGACATCTACTACAAGGGCACGGAGCCGCCGTATATGCGCGGGCGGGAGCGGGAGGAGGTGAGTGGTGGGGTTTTGGTTCTCGTTTTGTGTCGTTTTCCTGGGGTAGAGAAGATACCTTGCTTGGACGGCTCCCGTTTCCGTCGGCGGACGTCGTCGAGTCAACTTCTTCCATACGACTCCGTCCATGCGACATATCTCCGCTCCCTTCCCTTCTTCCTTCTTTC